GAGAGAGAGAGAGAGAGAGAGAGAGAGAGAGAGAGAGAGAGAGAGGGAGAGAGAGAGAGAGAGTCACGGAGAGGGAGAGGGTGAGCGGGAAGGCGAGAGAAGTAGCCTAACTATATTGTAAGGAATATGTGCATTCGTGCCTGTCTGTGTGTGCCGTATGTGCGTTTGTCTGCGCGTGTGTAATGCGCATGCGTGTGCACATCTCCGTCTGCATTCCTCCCTCACTCCTTTCTCTCCTCTTTCCTTCATCCTCCCCTCTCACTCCCTTCCCCTCAGTATTTCCCTCCCCCTCACGCGGATAGTATCGCCCACGGCATCAGTTGCACGGTGAAAAGTTAGCCAGGCAAATGGCTGGTTTTCAGCCTCAACTTTTTCATCCCCCCAAAGCACAAAATGTGGATATACGGCTATAATACGCGTTTTTACAGTCACACAAACACACATACACACCCACTAACGGACGCACACACGCGGGTATGGTCGCACGCACGCGTGTGCGTGTATTATAGGCGTAAATTCACATTTTGTGCCTCGCGGGGTGAAAAAGTTTCGGCTGAAATACGGCCATTTACCTGCAAAAGTTTTTCCACGCTTGACTGGTCGTGGGCGATACCATCCGCGAGAGGGGAGTAAGGAATAAGTGATTACTTTTATTCACTGTTAATGAAAGCACATGATGATGAAAGGTCAGCATAAAGACCCGACAATTGTTTATTATTATTATCAGGAGTCTAGGAATCTATTGATAGACTCCTGTTATTATTATTATTATTATTAAATCTTTATTGCATGTAATTCAACTACAAATACTGTACTGAAGACAGTCTTTTTCATGCAGAAAAAATCTAATGAATGCAATATAGTGTTGAGCAGTTAAAATTATAAAATTTCTGAGTGATACAGTACATTGTGTGACACATAGTTCTGAGTGATGCATGTTACATCAAAGCTTTACATATTGTTACAGGACTGTAACATGAATCTGCGTGAATCAATGTCAATATGTCAATGTGTACGTCGGTAATCGGCGAGCTATAGCGGCTGTTTAATCTGCTGTCGGCACTCGTGTAAAGCGACTAGTTTTACACGTGTGTCTACTTTCACTTTATATATGAATCTAAGGTATATATGATGACTCTAAAACTAAAACTACTTGTCACAGATTGTCTTGAAAAAGGCACGTCCTTAAAATATCCTTGAAAAAATAATTCACACTTTTGAGGGAACCATGTAATATCATATCATAAATGTATTATATTACATAATTGCTCAAATTACTCTAAACACTGAAATAAATAGGGGGCCTATAGACAAGCAATGTTGCGATATTTCATAAATAGTGTATCCAACAAACCAAAAAACATTTCTCACAATATGTATTTTTCACATGGTTTATTTACGTACGTACGTACGTACATTATAAACAGGTTAAGCGTTGCCGACGTGCCTCAAATTCACTTGTCAATTTGAATCAAGCGATTCAAATACATAAATCTAAAACATATATAAATAAATTGATAAAATACATAAAATTACCTCTGAGCTCTCTAACGCTTACAGACGCACGCATGCCTACATGCAATGTACGTCTTCCATATATCTACTACATCCTAACTGGGTTATATTAACCTGAGGTGCATAACACCTGCATGTGAACAAGAGCTAATAGATCTTAGCTCTTGATTAGACCTGGACACCGTTGATAGAACCGGCATAAATAGTTGTGATGGGGTAAATCCATAACGTCATGTTTTTGCACGGGAATTTGTGCTAAGGTTGTGCCATCCTGTGGATTTATCATCGTCATAAATATTAATGTTTCTGACAACGGGCCTCAGATTGGGCCATCCTTAAAAAATTATTTGTTTCCCCTTTACCTACTCGCCTCTCAGGGTACCGAGTAGGTAGGTA